AGGTGAACTGAAAAGCAGGAGAGAATATGTTTTCTCTTAAGTACTTTTAAAGCCACTCTGGAACTTTTATTTTCCTGTCTTTTCCATTAAAAGCTTTTTTCTGTGTTGCTTTTATTTCCTTGCTCCTGTCTGGTTGGCTGGGCACAAAGGGTGGCGGTGAATGGAGTTAAATCCAGTTGGCTGAGGTTCAAAAGTGCTGTTCCCCAGGGCTCAATACTTGCCCCCCACAATGATCCGGAGGAGGGAATTGAGTGCACTCTCAGTAACTTTGCAGATAACACCAAGCTGGTTGAGGGCAGGAGGGCTCTATGGAGGGATCTAGACAGGCTGGATCGATGGGCCGAGGCCAACGGCGGGGTGTTCCACCAGGCCAAGGTCTGGATCCTGCCCCTGGGTCACGGCAACCCTGGCAGCACCACGGGCTTGGGCAGGAGCGGCTGGAAGGCTCCTGGCAGGAAAGGAGCTGCGGGCATTGGTGGACAGCGGGCTGGGCAAGAGCCAGCAGTGCGCCCAGGTGGCCAAGAAGGCCAAGGACATCCTGGCCTGCACCAGGAATGGTGTGGCCAGCAGGACCAGGGCAGGGATTGTGCCCCGGTACTCGGCACAGGTGAGGCCACATCTCGAGTCCTGTGTTCGGGTCTTGGGCCTCTGATTCCAAGAAAGGCCTCGAGGCGCTGGAGCATGTCCAAAGAAGGGGAACGAAACTGGTGAAGGGTCACGAGCACAAGTCTTTGTGAGGAGTAGCTGAGGGAACTGGGGCTGTTTAGCCTGGAGAAGAGGAGGCTGAGGGGAGATGTTATGGCCCCCCACAACTACCTGGCAGGAGGTTGTAGCGAGGTGGGTGTCCGTCTCTTCTCCCAGGAACAAGCAATAGGATGAGAGGAAACAGCCTCAAGTTGCACCAGGGGAGATTTAGATTGGATACTAGGAAAAACTTCATCAAAAAGCCTGCATCATCATTGTCAAGCACTGGAACAGGCTGCCTAGGGCAGTGGTTGAGTCACATTATCTGCAGGTATGTAAAAGCTGAGGTGTAAATTAGGTGTTTAGGGAGATGGTTTAGAGGTGGCCTTGGCATTACTGAGGTAAGTTGGACACAATACTTCTAAGAGTCTTTTCCAACCTAAATGATTCTATGACTCAGTGTTTAATCTGCCCCTTGAAGTAAACTCTAGTTCTCTAGTTTTCCTACTCTGATGCATCCTTGAAGGTGAAACTTCGTCTGATGGCTGAGCTGGTCTTATATGCACAGTTATAGCCTTCCTTCTCCTTCATCTCCTGGTATTCAGCTGTTCTTTGGCGATCTGCTTCAGATCACAGAAATGGCAAAAGAGTAATCCAGTGGGAAAAGATGAGCAGATTTCTGATGCTTTAGGAAGCTGTTTTGGTTTACTTTGAATAACCAAACAGCAGAATTCATGGAGTAAGTCAAGGAGCGACAAGTAGATGAGCAGGAGGAGCATGGAAATTGTTACATTCAAAAGGAAGTTGTTGTTTAGTTAGTATCTTGTGAAACCCCATCCAGCCCATGAGGCAGATGTGTGTTTGGGAAGAGAAACCTTCATTGCCAAAGATGAAATGATGTTTTTCTTCTGTGAGTAGTCCAAAGGTGCAAAGAAACCTTAAGGAGCCTGAGGTGAAGAAAGCATCTAGAAAACAAGGAAAAAAAAAATAATCTCATGCTGTTTTATCACTGTGAACCATTTGAAGAATGCTAGCGTGGGGACTACTGTTATGGGCAGATTGTGTGATACCTTTCATTATATTTAAGCATCGTTTGTCATGAAAATGCTGTGAGCTGGATTAAGTGATAGATTTTGAATAAAAAGCACACAACTTGTGAAGGCTCCAGATCAGCAGAAATCTTCTGTGTGTATGAAACTTTTTTTCCATTTGCTTTGACTTATTTTTTAAACAGTTTTTGTTGACTGGAAAATCTGGGGCATTACTCTGTGTATGCTAGTTACAGGGCTACAGTGCAAATGAGACCTAGATATATTTGTTGATTAATATTTTCAGTAGTCTGATGAACAGAGCTGTTGCCCTTCATCTCCTCAATTCTGCACAGGACTGGATTCTAGCTCAGTTTGCAGTCTGGAGGGCATTTGGAGTGTCATAGGGGAACAAGAGGTAGGAATGAATGCAAATGCAGGTTCTGCCACCCTGAATTTTTTCCCCATATATTAACTAGCTGAAACTCCCACAACTAGAGAAGGTTGACCCCTGTTTTCGTATTACATGGGCTGTTTTGTTGTGAGACTTCTATTTGACAGAGAGGAAATCTCTGTGTTTGCTTCCTTGCATCACGTTTCAGAGGATAGGCTACTTCTGGCACTGCGCATTTTTAAAGGAGTAGTTTTGCTAACTGGAAGCAAAATTCATAGTGAAATGTACCTGAACGTGGTGTCAAGTAATGACTGTGGGCATTGTCATTGTGCTTGATTCAAACTGTTCCTGAAAGGAATAAAACAAAAATCCCATAAATGTTATCTAGAAAACAATTCTCATTTGAATGGTGCTCATACAACTTAAAAAGTAAAGATTAGTATTTGAATGCCTGGAACAGTCATATTGTACTTATGTAGCATTTACTCATGCTTTTGTGGATGTAATTTACACATTATAGAAAGTGAGTAGTGTAACTTAAGAGTAATATGGTTAAGAAAAGCTTTTGACATTGTGACTTCTTTTGCATTAAAAACAATTCTGTCCGTGTTTCTGTGTAATGACAGTCAACTTGTGAAATCTATAAGGAATAAATGTTTAGAAATGTTGTGCTCGGTATTTTCTTTGTCGGTCTTTTCAGACAACCCTTGAGATCACTGCTTCTAAATGCATTTTGGGAAAAAAAGTGTTTCTGGTATGGAGTTTGATAATACATGATAAATGTGCTTATTACAAGCAAAATACATTTGCTCTGTTAGCAAGTTATGTGTTCTTGTAGTGTAATTTGGGAGAAAGCAAAGGCTGTATCTGTTAATTCTCCACCGGAGGGAAGGGGAAGAAAGGATTGACTGCACATCTCATTCCCATGTAAATTTTTTTTCCTCCTTCAGGAGCTGTCATTCCAGTGCAGAGGTATACTTACTTGTACAGTATGTAGCTTTTAAAATTTTCCTTTAACTTTCCACATCCCGATAATATAACCATCTTGATGTTACCAAGCATCTTGATTTTACTTGAATGTGAAAGTAGAACTGATGATCTTCCTTTAGTCATCATTATGGAAAACTTTTGCAGTTACATTGCTAGAATTTCTGATATCTTTTTTTTAAAAATTGTCTTAAATTTTGATGAAGTAAATCCATCTGTCTTTCACATTTCCCTTTATAGCAAAAACATTCCAAAATGAGTTCTTGCTCTTATAACCACTAAAGCTCAGTGTTTTGCCAGTATTGTCCTCCATGTTGTTAGCCTTTTTTTTCCTGTTTCTTTTCTTTTGTGATATTTCTCTATTTGCAGCACTGGGTGTTTTGTCAGGACAAGAAGGAGAAGAGTGGGAGAGCTAACAGTGGGCTAGAGAGGTCTCCAATACATCCTTAAAATTGTTTCTGCTGGTTTTGTAAAAATAAATATGTAAACTTAAAACGCAGGTTTAGAAGCTGTGAATGTGAGTCTGGTTGGAGGAATGAGGTTGTTTTTTTTTTCTTTGGAAATGTTGATGGAGATTCCATACTATTTAGGTGAAACTCTCACGGCAGTTTTAGACTACCGACATCCACAATGTATGTGTTGTGGCTGCAGGAAGCCCCGGCTGGGGCTGCTGTTGGTGCCCTTCTGCTGGACCCCCCACCCTGATGCAGACTGGACAGTGTTTGCTCTTGACAGCTCCGCGCTGGAGGTGCAAGGCTGTGCTTGTTCATCATCCTAGTTCTGCTGGCCAGTGCAGTGGTGGGGTCACCGTCAAAACACAGGATGTTGAATTCAGTCCTGATTGTAAAATCAATGGAAAAAACCACCACCCACAAAACCCCCAAAAAACAACAGCAGTAAAAACCCAAAGAAACAAACAAAAAACCAGATCACACGTACCCCACCCTCCACATTTTCCACTGCTGTCTGAATTCATATTCTTCAGCAGTCCAAAATTGTTCCACTGATGAAAAATACAATCTGTGGATGGAGGTTTGGTTTAGCTTTGTATACAGAACTTGGCATGTGTTCCTCCTGTCTGTTCACTGCCTGCGAAACTTACATAAACTCTAGGGGGAAAGTTCGCTTAAGGCTTAAATTTCACAGCATTCGTGCAGCGTGAATGGAACTGATAGCTTGACCTATTTTCCAATAAATTCATCTGTTTGGCTGTATGATTAGCTTATCATTCTTAGGGATATCTTACTAAATGATTGAGGGCCGAGGGAGTGTCTGTTATCTGGAGCTATTATAATTTTGTTTCTCTTTCCTTTTTTGCTTGCTGGAGCTGAGATCACAGTTCTGCAAGTGCTTATATGTAGTTGAAAGGCTAACTGACATGTATAAGGTTATTTCTGCATAAGGACTTCCTTGATTCAGGAGTTAAATTGTTAAGACTTGATAGAGACTGCGAAACAGCGTTGTTACTGAGGGTAATAGAGTCAAGTGGTAATTTTTACTATAAAATATTATAGTCAGAATATGAATCTTCAAATAATCTGCACTGTAGTTTTTAAGCATTTTTTTCTTTAAAGTTTCAGGTAGATTTCTGATGGAATGAACATATATGTGGTTGGCAGAAGAATAAATCGCCGCATATTCATCTGTTTCTGATGCTCAGTATTTTTTTAAAAACCCATGAGATTACTGTACAGCCTTTTCCGGGGGTCTCTTAAAGTGAGAGTTAGTTGAACTCCTGGTACATTTCCCTACTGTGGTTTTGATGTGTTTCTGTGTGAAACTGGTGGCAGGATTTGTTCGAGTATGTAGGCCACTATTGTATTAGAATTACATAACAGGGTTGAGTGGTGGAAACAGATGAGAGACGGGGGTGCACGGCATCCTCTCACAGATTATATCCTGCAACAATGAAGACAGCTCAAGCTCTGCAGAGAATGTGGTCACATGCAGTCAAAAAGTTGGGGATTTTGAAAGGGCACGTGAGTTGCTTTTTGTTACATCTTACTCCAAGTCTTTTCTTCCCCTCTCCCCCTCCTTCCTCTTCTATATCCTTCCCCTCTCCAAATCACTTTTCTAGTCAGATAACTGTTGTGGCAGGTCTTCTGGTTTTGTTCTTCTTTCAGTGTGAATGAAGTTGCTTTCAGTAGCAAGTAATTGCATAAATCTCTGATGACTGTTGTGTGAGTTGCAACAGCTGCCTGTTTGTAGCACACAGATTATTTTAGCACTTTGACTAGTTTCCTGGTAAAGATTCTGTTAAGCAGTCTATTTTGGATATGGAGAAGGCACCTGTCATTTTGGTATATGAGCATTAGGCAGATTTAAGCAAATCCTGACTACCGTGTTCTAATTAGAAGTGGAACGGCTTTAGTCACTAATGAATTGAGACTAGCTAGTTAGAGTAATTTGCATTTTCTGCAGGTAGCCTGCTATCTGTGTGAAACCTGGGTAAACTTGCAAAACAGTTACTATTAGTAACAGGAGGTGAGGTTCTTAACCATTTAGCCTGCTTTCCTCTCTCCCGTGTTTTGGTGTGTGATCTTCCAGTGGAATTGCCATCCTATAAGGGAGGCACAGGCTGCTCGGGATCCCTCTGTGTTTCCATACAGATGAAGCCTGAAGAAAATGGCAAGATGATGGAAGCTCATCACTTGATGCGTATTTTTAGTTGTGGGATACAGGGATTTTTGCAATTTTGGTAGAGACTTCAGTCTCACTTTTTATCAAGTCCTCAGCTGATGTTCTATAACATTTGTAGTCTCTCCCTCCCTCTCAGTCTTCTCTTCCCCATTAATCCGTCAGTATGGGTTAGCATCATGGCAGTGGCAAGCAGCAGTACGTTTTATAATGTTAGAGAGATTATTGCCTAGAGATTTGAGGGAGTACAGATGTGGTTTGTGCCTTATTGGGCTTCCAAGGTGACCATTCAGTTCTCTGAACTGTGTTGCAGAGCCTGCGTAGCTTTATCAGTATGGCAGAACTAGCCCTGTTGTCTCGGTAATTATGTTGCACAAAATCAGCTTTGCAAGTGTATAGTGTACTTTCTTTCACATTAATATAGTATATAGAAAATGGTTTCCCAAGGAGTAGGTTCTAAAAACGTGCTACTTTAACACATACTTACAAATTTAAAAGTAAATTACTTAATTAGCTTTTCTTTAATGTTTACTGAGTGTCAAGCCAAAAATAACCTCCTAAAATTTATGCAGAAAGTAACTGAGGCAGTCACTGATACTCTCAGGAACTTTTTTAGGCACAGATGTGTTGATACTACAGGTTAAACAAGAGCCTTAACTGTAGGGTCTATAAGCAGTAGTTTCTCCTCCATTCCTCTTAGTTGTTTTTGGGACCAGATACCATAAGATTTGTCACAGCAAAATAGCTTACATGAGTTTGCATTGCCTTGATTTACTACACAATGCATCTCTCTAATTGTGCACAAGGTTTTACTTGTGCCAGTGCTCACAGGAGGCCTAGTTTTCTGGAAGGGAATTCCTGTAGGCTTACCTGTTTCATACCCAAAATCTGTCCCCACTATCTTCGCTGTGCTTCCCTCCATTCCTTTTCTATGGTGGTATATTGAATAAGCAGTCATTTCTGAGGTCTTCCGTTATTAGTAGTGTATTGAAAGACCTGGTGTCAGAGTTTCTCGAAGAGTGAGGCAACTGTGCTCCTCTTTGTCACTGCAGGTGGTAAGTTCTTGTCGATTGCATTATGCCTGCCTTGCTGTTTTGCCTGCACAGAGCTGGACTGGGTATTCTAGGCTAGGAGCTAGTGTTGGTAAGAACTGTACAGTGCAAGCTGAATTTGAATGATGTTCTTGTTACGCATGTCAGTTGTTGAGCCTTTTATACAGTGAGAAGGATGGAAAAGATTTTCTGTCTCCTCTGCTCCTGTAAAATTTGAACCCATCTGCTTGTCCTTCAAATTTTACCTATCATTTCATACTGCGTTTCATTTCTAAAACTTTCTTCAGTGAAGTCAGCTGCAATTTGAGTGGCACTGAGGCCCTCCTTTAGCACAGACTGATTTTTCTGCAGAGCTTAAAAATATCATATAGAAAAGCAGGACAGTGATGGCATAGCCAAGGTTAGTAACAGGTAAACTGTTTACATGTTGTCATGCGTGTCAGTCAAGTAAGCCTAGTCACTGCTGTGCATCGTGAAAGCTCAGGACGAGCATTTAATTAAGGAGAAATTTTCTACTTGTGGAAGGTTGTCTGTTTAAGGGAATATGTGTAGTGAGATGGTTCAGTGTCAGATTGCTGACAGAAGACTTTTACTCTGGACATACTGGGTGTGCTTTGAAGTACAGGCATACCTTTCTTGTGTCACTTGCCTGTCTGCAGTTTTGGAATTTAGTTGCTGGTAATCCCTTTAATGCTTTTAAGAAACCTCTTGAGTCAAAACTGAACTTCTGTCTGAACTTCAGTTTTCTGAGCAAATGCTTAGCTTCCCGAGAAAGAATATCACTTTTAGCAGTAAAACCAAATAAACCTACAGCTTGAATATGTGCATGCATGTACTCGTGCAATGCTTGACTTTATCTTCTGCAGTGGATGCTTTGCAATTTTAAATGTTGATGGTGTGTCAAATACTGTGGCTCATTTTCCTCCTCATTTTACAGGACAGGCACTGAAGGGGCTGGCTGTGTACTATATGATGCATTACAGCTGGGTGATTATTCTGTATTATATTTTAAGCTCTGATGTTGGAAAGGTTTCAGGTTATCTCATGCAAGATAAACTGATCAGTTCAGGATCAGTTTTAACTGGAAATGGGGAAAAAAAAAAAAGTTTCTGAGAAGTGTCACAGATATACCAGTGCTATATAGTGATACACTGTGTTTTCACATAAATTTTAACTCCTTGATGGAACTTTAAGTTACTCAGCTATGTAATACATATTGGACAAAACATTTAAATCCACATGAACAAGAATCAAAAGATCTGAAGGCTAGTTTGTTTTGAAAACCTCAGTTTCAACTGCATACTGGAATGTAGAGGTCTTCGTAAGTATTTTGTATTATTTTAATCTAGCCTATATAATGCTAGTGTGATCTGAATTAAATGCTTTTGCTGAATGAGACTTTTACAGAAAATCAGAATTAACTGTTAAGTTAGTGAAATGTGACAGGATTCTGGACCTCGGACCTATTAATATTTTATTGTCTTTTAAAAGAAAAATCATTGCTAACTGAAATACATACACCTCGTAATAACTTTACCAAGTTATTAGAATATACATGTTATTTTTATACCTGTGTTTTAATAGGGTATCTCACGTTTTAATTTAGAGAGTTGTATTCTTTATGTTTCACTAATTGGTTTTTGTGTGCAACAGGCCCCAGGCATGGAAGAGCTGATATGGGAACAGTACACTGTGACCTTACAAAAGGTGAGTGAGTGTCTGTTATGTTTTTAGGTTTCAAATATTCAAGCGCTAGTTTAGTCTAAATATATTTTACAATAGATGTTCTTAGCATATCTGAGTCTAGAAGAGGATTAATTTGTTGTCCAAATCAGATATATTTCCCTTTTTAAAGCTTAATTGTTAGTTACTCATAGAATAGCATGACTGTTTACTGTTAGGAGTAAATTAAATTAACAATTTAAGTGCTACCTTTGCTGCTGTTTGATCTCTGTAGTGACAGTGTAGTATACCACATATCAGTCACACAGCTAAATTCATCACTGAATGACCTTAAAAACAAAGCAGATGGTTCTATCAAGCAGTGGTGTTTAATGTCCAAGCTTTATGATAATCACTGAACGTGCTTCCACTGATTTTAGGTTTTTTTTTTTTGTACTGTAATGTCTACCAGCATAGAATCTAGTGAAAAACTACTGTCACCAAAATTTCTAAAATATATGGACTACAGATGTCACTTTTAACAAGTCTTCTAAGAGGAAGTATCTCATTAGGTAGAGTCCTTTTGAGTTAAAGAAAGTAGACCACTTGTTTCTGCGTGCTCCAACAGCTAGTCTGCCACACTATGGTACAGGACGTATGCTTGGACAGTGGTGGTGGTCTCGCTAGCTGTTCTGGCGAGCAACCTGTGCTGCATTGCTTATGGCTTTTCCTATGTTCTGTAATAAACTGAGCTTGATGACCCCAGGTAAAATGGCAGTCTTTCCTACACAGCCTGTTTTGTGCACTTGCTGAAAAAGGGCTGTTTTCCAGGTTACAGAGGTAGACGGGAGAAACATGGTAGAAGCAGCCCTTAGTTTCTGCATTTTCTGACTTTTCAGATCTTCAGTATCGTGTAAATGAGCATTACTATTTTGCCTCAGTGACAGGCTTACACCACTCGAGTGGCAGAGGGCTCTTGGGCTTGCTGCATCAGCCACTGCCCATGAATTCTATCATTATTTTGAAATCTGTGTTGTTTGGGTTTGAAACATCAAACTACTTCTTGTAAAACTTATGGGCAGCAAGTGAAGTGTTGTTTAAAATGAAAACAAAACACATTTTTTTTTCCTTCCTAAAGAAATAACTACTTACTATTGACATTAGTGGAACACGATGGCATATGTTGAAGTACACAGGCTGAGTGTGAGTTGAGGGAAGAGCTCCACTTTAATCTGGTGCATTGTTTTGCCGCTACGTTAAAACATTTTTTTTAAATGCAGCATAATTTATAGTTTATAATAATGGGAGCTCATAAAATTAAACCTATGTGTTGAGCAAATGTATAGCTTTGTGTACAACTTGTCTGCAGTTCAGTTACACTAACAGTTCTCATGTCTAGTGTTATATATATGCTTCCTTCACATCCTATTCTATTTCCCTGATTTTATGATCGATGTCTTAGGGCTTTTACGGATGTGATATTTCTATGACAACAGGTTTGACATAAATTACATGTTGATTGTGAGAGAGAATAAATATAAAGAGTTTACAAGTTCATATTTAGTTTGATGGAGGAGTGAGTAGTTATTACAACCTCGATAGCAATCATAAGAAAGATGTGACCCTCGAAAAGCTGTTCCAATTTCTCAGGCATCACTTTACAAAATAGATTTATCTAGGAATACGTTTGGTATGGAATGGTGAAGCAATATGCAGACTAAGTTAGTAAGTCCCTTGATTAATTACTAACCATCACAAGGCTCTAGACTGAGGTTTGGAGAACTGGGTCATGTCATCTTGTTACATGGATTTGTAAACCTATTCCTTTTTTAAATCTAGAGGTGCTGTGTATTTCTGCAATTCTCTGCTTGCCACCATCGTATTTTAAATAATACCTAAGTAGAGAGCTGTCACAGGAACTTTCATATTGCTCTTCTTTCTCCCAGTCAAAATTCCTATGGATAGAACTGAGTTTTGGTTTTTGTGTCTTTGTTGTAAAGGACTCAAAACGAGGATTTGGAATTGCGGTTTCCGGCGGCAGAGATAACCCTCATTTTGAAAATGGTGAAACATCAATAGTCATTTCAGATGTTCTCCCAGGTGGTCCAGCAGATGGATTACTTCAGTAAGCAATTTCTTATTTTTCTATCTGACATATTTTCAGGCACGTGGCTGCAGAATATTTAACACCTTCAGAGGGGCTAGGTTGAAATACTGGTAATTTAATCCATGCAAGATTTGATGCCCTCTTGAAAACCTAGATGTCTGTTTTAAATGGAAAAAAATGCCCGCACAGCAAACCCACAACCAAACAACAAAACAAATTCTATCCGGAGATGTTTTTATTTGCTGTTTTGTAAGAAATTAAATTTCAGTGGTGTAAAAGCTCTTATAGTTACATGTGTTTCTCCTAAGGTTGCATTTCTTTTAAAGAAGTAGTAGAAATACTCAGTATCTTAAAACATTCTCCTGGCTTTTCCTCCAGGAATTATATTTAGTGGTCAATCAAGACCACTGTATATTCAAGAGAATAGCCTATGTCAGCCCAAGGAAGGGTCTTCACTGCTAAGGTGTCAGGACCAATTATGGGGAAAAGAAGAGGAAAAAAAAGTATTTGCTAAGTACTTATTTTTATTTTTAAAAAAAATGCAGAAATAAAGTGTGTCTGTAGTCCTGGTAATATCATCTTTGTGAGGCAGCATCTATCATGGACAAGTTATTTTAAATCTGTAGGCTGAGATAAACAGTTTCTAGCACACTGGTTATCAGATTTTTTTACCCTTTGACATGAAATAGCTCATGAGGACTAGACAGTTTGGAAGAATGCCAATGGTGTGCAGTAATAGTAATTCAAAAGAGTAGATTCTGGCCATTTTGCCAAACAAAAGGGCTGAAATGGGAGTAGTTACTGAAGGACTGGATAAGAGGATTCTTGTGAAGTGGGTAACAAACCATTCTGAACAAAAACATACAAAAACTTTAGTTTTATAGCAGTGATCCCTGCACAACACCACTATCATCCATTCTGTTCCGTAATTGACTGTGATTTGAGAATAGATCATGTCCACAGATTATGTAAGATCCTAGGTAAATTGGTGATGAAAAGCAATAACAAGCAATTTGGACATTTCCAGACAAAACATGTTGTGAAGAAAACATGTGAATGCAAAGCTGCTCCTCCGACAAAACAAGGAATATAGGCCTAACCTTCAAAGTGTATGTGAAATTAAGATTCTGCAATCCTTTTCAGGATAGAGTGAGCATAAATAATGGGAGCTCTTAATTTAATGTTGCAGCATTAAGTTTGATATGATCATTGGATGTATGGACTGTGAAGAGAGCTATTTTAACTCTTGCATAAATACCAGGTGAATCTGATACTGGAATATAGTGTGCAGTTCTAGCATACTTGTTCAGTAAAAAGAATTGAAAGAGTATGAAAAGTGGCACAGAAATCATTCACAAGTTAGAGAAAGTGCTTTACAAAGAGAGACTTAAAGTATGTAATCTTCTTTTTAATAAGAAGATTGTGATATTACTTGATTACAGTGAGAGAAAATAATAGGCTCTAAAGTTTTCTTGTATCTAGTAGAAAACGACACAGTAACCAGTAACTGGTTGCGCTAATGCTCTGACTGTACAGTTAGTAATGGAGTAGTCGCCAGAATAAACTAAAATGTGGAGTGGTTGATTTTTTTTTTAATTTATTTTTTTTTTAATCCTCCCCCTTTTGCACTGAAATGCCTTTCTGGAAGATACGATTTTTTAATTAATCGCGTGTTATAAGGCTGTCTCCTGAGGGTGACTGAGTTAATTTTGTCTGACATGCAGGAGGTCTTTCTGGAGGGCCCTTTCTGTGTATTATAGTTTGTTTCTTCTCCCCACCCCCCAGTACCTTTCTTTGGAGTAGATGGGACCTGAATACCAACCCGTCTTCCAGTAAAGTGTGCTGGAGTGGTACTTGTCAAGATTTGTCTGAATACTGCTATAGATGCAGCAATGTGAAGCTCTGTTGAAATTCATGTATCGGTGTGAAAAAAATGTAGCATTAGGTGTGAAAGAGGACATCACAAACGTTCTTCAACAAACAAAATCTTCTCTGACATTATGGCAAGGTACTTAAGCTGGACAAAGTGCATGTACAAAGATGTGCACAGCTACCCAGAGTCTAAATGTACGAAAGCTTCTTTTGGTGTTCAGGTATTGCAGTGTTTGCATAACGAAGTTTTTAAGCCAAATTTGCTGTTGAAGTGAATAATATCCATAGGTTCTCCTGGGGAAAAAAGAAAATTGTTCTGGCATTTTCATGAAGATACCTGAAAACCTTTTTTTTTTAACTTCCCCCCACCGCCTCTTCCTCTTCCAGAGAAAATGACCGAGTGATCATAGTTAATGGGACCCCAATGGAAAATGTTCCACATTCTTTTGCAGTCCAGCAGCTTAGGAAAAGTGGAAAAGTGGCCACCATCGTAAGTAAATTACAAATGTATTCTCCCTAGAGTGGTATCTACCTGTGTAACCAGTCAAGATTTTGGTTTTCTTCTATGAAATGTGCTGTATGTATAAAGCAATGCAAGCCTTTGCCCAATACTATGTAGAAAGTAAATTAACAAAAAGGCATAGTTTCTACAGGTGAAACAAATGAAAATTAAAAAAGTGTCAGAAAGTTATCCTGTTGAACAATGGGAATGAAATTTATATCCTCAGTCTTTAATTTTACTGAATAATGAGTGTAGTTGGAAGAAACAAGTTACGTGAGGCAAATAATGTCCTGCATACACAGACATAGCCCAAGAATTTGCTGTTCAGATCAGCTTTCATTAGTTGAGAGAGGTATCTGCAACTCTCTCTTTTGGGAACTTGTCACATTTTTAAAAAGTCCTGTAGAAAAAGAAAAAAAGTATTCATTGCTCACACGCTTGCAGAGCTAAAAGAATGTGCTTGCTGATACGATTTTTATTTTTTAAAAATTTGTCTTACTATTCTTTATCCTTCCAATTAGTAAGTATTTCTTCTGCTCATCTAAATGATTTACTAGTTGTTCTATAAAGAGAACATTTTCTTGTTTTGCATCTTTCTTCCCCCCAATCTCTGTCTGAAGTGTGAAGAAGATTCTTCTATTAAATTTCGCATTCTGACCATTGAATGGGTGTGTTTTGTTTGTTTCATGTTGCACTGAACAGGTAGTGAAACGACCAAGGAAAGTACAGGCTGCAGCGTTGAAGAGAAGCCCTTCCCTTGACTATGAGGACAGAGCTTTAGATGTAATGGACGACCATGCAGAATTTGATGGCAAAAGTGCTCGAAGTGGCTACAGTGACAGAAGTTGGCATAGTGGTAATGGAGGACGCAGCCAAAGCTGGGGAAACAGTCTGGATCAGAGCTACAGAGATGAACAGGACAGAGGGCGTAACTGGAGCCGAGACCGTGACAGGGAGTGCAGCTACAGCCGTGATCGAAGTCGTGGTAGGAGCGTTGACAGGAGCTTAGATCGAGACTACAGAAGAGATCGGAGTAGAGGAAGGAGCGTTGACAGGGATGGTGACTATGAAAGGGGCTACAGAGGAGACTACAGCCCACCCAGTTATAGTCATGGATCTCAACCTGATCCTAGATATGGGAGGAGTCGAAGTCGGGACAGGCTTCGTTCCCGAAGTCCTTCGCCTGAAGTACGCCATCAACATGACTACCTAGGGCCGCAGGATCAGAATGGACCAATCAGTGTTCTCTTAACAAAAGGCAGACATAGTGAAGGTAGGTATAGTATGGGGAGGGAGAGGAAGTAGTTTTTAATACTCATGTTATTTTGGTGGGGGCAGAAGAGGAGCCAAATACTCTCTGCTTTTAGAGGTTAAATGTTGAGTTTTCTAACTGATTGCTCAAGTTGTTCTTTTGTTCTTCCTGGCTGATTTGGGGTGCTTTCACCCATAGCACTGTGAACTTTTCCCTTTGAACAAAGAGCTTTCCACCCACATGATTTCAGTCTTTTCAAGCCATTGTGTCCTTCAGTTTTCCATTTTCTCTCCCTTATTCTTCTGGTTCTGGTGGGAAACATTGATCTGATCATGATTCAGATTACACTTGGCAGATCTACAAAAGAGTCAGGTACAAAGGGTGAAGAGCAGACTCTGCTTTTAATAGTGCACTTACTTCTTCCATTCAGTATCATTAAATTAGTTCCAATGATTGTTTGATTCTGAATGTAGTTAAAGAATACTGAAATTACAACAGCTGAAACAGCCTTTCCTTGCTGAGAGTGTGTAAATGAAAGCCCAAAGCCTGATCTTTTGCATGCTGTGAAATAAAGACTCTTGTGCTATAAAGCATATTTGAAATTAGATCATGCATTCTTTTCTGTTTAGGGTGGGTTTTGGGGGGGTGGGAGTAAGGTGGTTTGTTTGTGGGGTTTGTAGATTGTTGGGTTTTTTTAATCTGCCTTGTTGTAATTTGTAAGAATTTTCTGCTCCTGTAGGCTTTGTATGCAGGAGCTAACCTTGTTTTTCATTGACTCTGACAAGGATCCCTTTCTCTCCTTCATCTTCTTCCCCTGCATGTAATGTTTCCATTTGTAATGGTAACACAGATAGGTATATGAATAAGGAGAAACCTAGGGTTTTATATGCACCTACTGATTCCATAATAATTTCTGCCATTCATACTCTGCAGACTCACTCCAATGAGGTGATTTTTAAAGGCAGATGGCTTGCTTTCCTTTTCTGTTTTTCTAGGACATGCAAGTTTTAAGTGTTGCTTTTCTTTTTAAGTAGCAAATGCACTGATCAAAGTAACTTGGACCAAAGAGGAAAAAGAAAGGGGATGGGGAAATTCTTTGCCTGAAGCAACTGAGACACTTATTGGGGTACAGATAGGACAGGTTCAGTATGTGGCAACTGGTAAGAAAAACAGCTCTTCTGTTAGCACTTTTTGACTCTTCTCCCTCTCTACGCCATGGAAAATATGATACAGAGAGAAAATTTGGTCCAGCATGTTAATAAGCACCTCCAGGAGGGAGGTATTATTTTTCTGTTAAAGGTGCAGAGTGGTCATCTGTCTAGTTTGGACTGCTGTTCGTTTTTACTGTGGTGGCAGCACAGAAATAGGAGAGTCAGCTTAGAGTAAAGTGGGTTTACTAGGTCCACTTCTTTTTTCTTTTTCTTTTCCCATGGTGTAATGGGGTGTGCTTCATGTACACTGTGCAGTTTTTTAAAAAAAACACATGTCCTCGCTCATCTTCTAAGATACAGTGGATTATTTCCGATTCCAGAGTATGGTCTCCGGCTCGGAAGTCAGATCTTCATAAAAGAAATGACCTGTACTGGCCTAGCAACCAAAGATGGCAACCTTCATGAAGGGGATATCATTCTCAAGGTCTGTTCTGGTTATACAGCTAACAGTTTAGCAGGCAGTTGTTATACTGGTTACTCTGGAGTAAGTAATGTTGTAGCCAAGTTCACTGTTAAACTTGAGCACAATACGGACTTTTTAATTTACTTACAGTGTTGTTGTTGCCTTTTTATGTCCAGATCAATGGTACTGTGACAGAGAACATGTCCTTAGCTGATGCCCGAAAACTGATCGAGAAATCACGGGGGAAGCTCCAGCTGGTTGTCCTCAGGGACAAAAAGCAGACACTGCTCAACATTCCTTCATTGAATGACAGTGACTCAGAGATGGATGGTGAGGTTTAATGTGGATAAAAAGTTCTCGACTCTGTGCAGGGACAGAATGGAGCTTATAGTGTTTTGCTGTAGTAGACTAGGTTCTTTTAAAAAATGAATAAAATAAAAAAATAACCAAGTACAGACAAACCTTAACAATAGCCAATTAAGCATCAAGCCCAGTTCCTTGAGGTGAAGGAAGAATTTGGTGGTAATTATGTAATGACATTTTGAGCAGGGGCAGAGATAGAAGCAATGTTAATCTGGCAAAATCAGTCTTCTCAAAGCAAGCAAGTCTGTTGCTTTGATAAAAGACTTCATTTTTAACACCAAGTGCACTGGATTGGTCTCTCCTTTTGCGGGCATCAGTATTCATGACAGTATTCAACAGGAAGGAAAAAGTGTCAGGACAAAAGGAAATTAAGTCCTCCTGGACAACTGGTTCCTGTTTCCAGTATCTCTTCTGTACAAATAATCTATCACAGTGCGTAAGTTTTATCTTGCAGCATAATCTTGCTTTGGGAAAAGCTCAGAATGTGTGTGGAAATAGAATGTTACATTTAGTGCAAGATGTTTGCTTCTCTGATGACAGAATACTGGATGCAACTTTTAATAGGTTTTACTGTGAAGACTGAGATGTGGTTCAAGTCGGAGGGCTGCTCTGTTTCTTTTGTCACTGAAGAGCAATGATTTGAGGACTGTTAATGTGAAGGTGGTCTACTGGTTGGGAACCTCCATGAGACCTCAAATAAAAGGCTACTAACACTAATGAGTTTGTGATATCCTGAAAGTAGTTGCATGGTGTGTGTTTCCTAAAGGTTGTGTGAAACTGTCTTGAAATATTTTAGAGGGGTAGGGAGTGGAAGTACTAAAAGGCATACAGCACTTTTTGAACCCTGATCAAATCCAGCTTGGAATGGGAGTAGGATTTGTAAATAAATGTGATCACACGTGCAGTTAAATCTTGCATGTCTTGACATGGTGCTCTCTTTGCAGATATTTCTGAAATAGAGTCAAACAGGTCATTCTCCCCTCAAGATGACAGGTTGCATCATTCTGATCAAGATTCACATTCGTCCAATGAAAAGCTGAAAGAGAAGCCAAAGTAAGAAATGGTCTTTTCTAGTCTAGTTTTCTAATGCTCATCAAAGAAATCATTAAAATATATGGCATTCTTATCTGATCTCACTACACATTTTTTCTCTTTTTTTTTTTTTTTTAACTTTTAGTGCAAAAGATGATACATCCAGTAAGATGTCCAGGATGGGAGCAATGCCTACACCATTCAAATCAAGTGGTGACATTGCTGCTTCTGCTGTTACAGTTGTAGATGCAAACAAAGAACTGAAGTATCAAGATGAACCAGCAGGTCAGAGTTTGAAGTATTTGATTGCCTCCTTTTTTTATTTTATTTTTTTTTTTCCCCCCGGCCACAGAATGTCTACTCCGGCAATCAAGCTGATATATATCTAGTATATACTCTTTGTATCAAGCCCATCTCAACATACAGAGAAAAGATTTATCTTTGCTTTGTAGTGCAGAGGGAGAAGAAACACATGAGATTATTTGAAGGCAGTTGCTTATTAGAATTATCATTACAAAACCAAGTACTCCCTTAGAGCATCTGCTGTAGCCTATTGCCCTAAGCAGCTAAACAAAGCTATTCTTGAAGTCTGATCTGGCTTGCCTGAAGAGAGTTGTGTATCCCTTCCTTGATTTGTTTTTTCTTTTTCAGTAATAAAAAAAAGGGAGAGATAAGTAAATTTTAGTCAAAAAGATGATTGACATTTAAATCTGTATTAATCTTTGGCATGGAAGGGTTCGATTGCTATCCGATAGCTAAAAATTGCTGTCATTTATAACTTTCTTAATAGCTCGGTAACATCTGTTGTCTTTTTTACATATAGTGTCTCAACCAAAAGCAGTTACAAGAACGATTCTTAAACCCAGCCCTGAAGATGAAGCAATTTATGGGTAAGGTGACACTTGCCATGTTCTTTTGCACTTGGCGTTCTTCCAGTGACCTTCCTGTTGCATGGGTTTTGTGTATTTTTGCCCATTTGTAGTGAAACTCCCTCTAAAGGAGAAAATATGACATGGCTTCTAACAGACTGTATTTGAGCTGGAAGGTGTAGACTTGCCTTCTGCCTGGAAGGTATAGAACACACTGTGCTCCTGGACTATCATGAGAATGTAAATAACGCTATATTTTTATTCTGCTCTGTTTGGCACTTTAAGGTAGTATTGGGAGTGCTATGTCCATTTTGGATGCCCCAGGACAGGAAAGACGTTGACACACTGGAGCAAGTCTAAGGAGTCAGTAGTTGCCACATAGGACATATGGGAAAAGGCCGAGAGAACTGGGTTAGTTAAATGTGAAGAGAGGACTGAAGGGATATCTTTCTGTCTGGAATAACCTAATGGATATTGGGGTGTAGACAAAACAGAGTCATACTCTTCTCAGAGGGGTCCAATAGCAGGAGAAAGAGCAAGGGACACAAACTGGAACACGGGTATTTCTGACTTGTTATAAAGAAGAAAACTTTTTATTATGAGGGTGGTTAACCACTGGAACAGTTTGCTCATGTAGATTGTGGTATCTCAGCCGCAAGGGATACTGAGAGACATAACTGATCAAGGCCCTGAACAACCTGCTTTGAGCAGAAGGCCATTCTAACCTGTGCAATTTTATGGAAATGTATTTTAAACCTCTTCCATTATTTCATACTTAAACAAAAGACAACCCTCCTCTTTTCTGCAATATTAAAATACAAAAAGAATGTTCTCTGTTTAACCTGTAAACAAGGTCTTTGCAAGACAGGGCCAAAAGTATGTGTGTTACTGTACAAGCTGTAGAGAAATTTTTGTCTTTTCTTCAAATTCAAGCCTGTGTTGTTCGTATTGCCATTCTAGTTTCTGCTTAGAAATGAACAAAATATTGCTTCTAAAATTGATTTTTCTGGTTTTTTTTTAATAAGTGGTCAAATGAAACCTTGCACTGTTGATTCATTAACAATTAAGACACTAAAAGTTGTGAACTCTATTAATAGGAAGTGAACTTGTATGTTTTCTTTTGAGAGTTTCCAAATACATAAATTCAAAGGAGGGTAGCACTGAGATTGTAAGGAACAGCCTAAAGATAAGGTTTGGAAGATCTTCTGTAGCTCAGAGTATTTTCTCAAATAGATTTTCTTCTCAGATATTTTCTGAGTTGGACCCTGTTTATGTTGATATGCAAATTAATCAAATTATTTTGGTGAAGGGGAATTTATAATAGAGGCTTAGGGTATTACTGAGGAAGGCTGACAAATAGGTACTATCCTTTGCATTGGAAGGTCATTCAGGCATACAGCTTTTCTGACAGCAAAAGAGCTGAACCTAGTCCAGTAGTCTCTCACACTACAATATGAAAGGAGTGATTGTTAACATACCAGTAAAGCATACTTGAAAGTATTTCTCCTTACAAGAAGACTTGAAGACTTCTGCCTAACAAACATGTTAAACTGCAAAGAAAATTTGAATTCATATGGCAGTTGTTAAACCCATAGAGGAAAAAGCAGCGAGTATGACTATTTATATTCAGTATGTTTTCAAAAAAAATCCAGCTACTCATTTAAGACAGCATCTAATAGGTAGAGAACTCTTTTGGGAGTTGTTCTCTGCTTTGTCAGGCCTGTGCATGCTACTTAGTCATTCTTCCTAATTCAGTTTCCACTCTGAAAAATGCAAATACTCTGCTTCCTTCCTTCACTGAAGAGTTATGTGGGTAAATATCTCTTATATAGTGAAAGAAAGCAGCCAAGAATGTTGTTAATGTGATTTTGTTGAAAGGGTTGTAATTTTTTTTTTATCTTGACAACCTGTTACTGTCACCTGCCTAACATGTCCTTACTTACTTTTTCTGCCCGGAAATTTTGTAGTCCTAATACAAAAATGGTGAGATTCAAGAAAGGGGACAGCGTGGGTCTACGACTGGCTGGTGGAAATGATGTAGGGATATTTATTGCTGGTATTCAAGAAGGCACCTCAGCTGATCAGGAGGGACTGCAGGAAGGAGATCAGATTCTTAAGGTATGTGTCCCTGAAATGCAGGTCACTTTTGTAATTTTTTTTTTTATTATTATTATTTTTTGCTTCTTGGTGGAAATATGGAAGAAGTTGATGGTAGGAAGTCAAATTATTGCTTTGGAAGTCTGGTTGGTAGTGAAAGGATCTTACTGAAATTAATGTTTGAAGGATGACTATATATCAAGCTTTAGTTTGTTGAAGATTCTGTGGAAAGGTTAGTTAGGAGAAATATTAATCAAGAAAAATGACCAAAGGTGGGAGAATAAAATTTCTGTACAATGCTTCTTCCTAGTACAGAAGGTGGAATAAAATGAAGCAGACATATTTTATTTTTTTTCTCTTGTATTTCTCCAGTTTCCTTGATTGACAGTGATTTATTTTTTCAGTTTGCGTATTGTATCATTTATGCGATTTTGTCCTCTTACATTCTCCTTCTTTTCTGATAATTCAAATAAGAGGCTAATCTAATTATCTGCTGCTTTTCTCTTGTGGTAGCCTTGATTTTCAAGGCTTTTTGGAGCCTATTAAAGTAGAAGAAACAGTCTGCCAGTGGGTGTGCAGGACAGTTTATTTCAGAAAGGTTACTGTTAAAGGCAGGAACAAAATATTTCTTATTGTAACAGCTGTCTATACTGATTTTTTTTAAAAAGTATAGTAAGAGAAGAGAATATTTAATATTTTTTACATGAAACAAAAATCTTTCTTTATTGCTTTTATTGTTGTTTTTTCAGCTGTTGATTTTTAAAGTTTGTTTTGGATTGGTTTTTGTTTTGGGTACATAGGTAAACACTCAAGACTTCAGAGGCATTATTCGGGAAGATGCTGTTTTGTACCTCTTAGAAATTCCTAAAGGTGAAACAGTAACAATTTTGGCTCAAAGCAAGTATGAAGGTAGGTGCTTTGAACAAAACATATGTCTATCCAAGAACCTTTTAAACTCTCTTTTGCCAGCAAAACCACAAATTACCTCTCTCGTGCTTATTCTTGATAGCCTTTTAGTTGCTGTATTCCGTACCACTAAGGATCATACAGATAGGCACATGACGTGTTTTTCAAGAGCATTTCTCCATAGCTTTTATTATTAGCAAATAGCATCTCTTAATCCAGAAGAGTGGCAATGTACTTCTTGCTCCTTCTGCTTTTCTGTCTGTAGCAGCTGGCCCAAGCTCTGCTGTTAGCATTCCTTTTCTGCTGTGCCGTGGCAGTTGTAAGGGGTTTACTCAGACAGCAGCAGCAAGTTGTCAGGTTTATTGATGTTAATCAATAAGGTTAAGGAGCAAGCAGAGCCTCTTGCTTTCCTGTTGGACATGCAGCATGCTGTAAATATTGAAGTACCATAGCTGCCATTTGCTTTGGGAAGGTTCAAGTGCCTCCGTCACTCAGAGCTGTTAGAGCTGTATGTGTACAAGTGCAGAATGTTCTTGACAACGTGCGTGTAGAGCAGTTGATCTGAAGGCTGAGGGTTTTGCGTCTTTTTGAGTAGAGGGGAAGAATTTCAAAACTAGTCTCTATAATGACAGCTTGGTCTTTCTTTCAAGCGTAAAAAAGTACGAACTAAAAGCGAGTTCCTATTTTAGTCTACAGAGACATCATGACCTGTGGCAGAGGAGATTCATTCTTCATCAGGAGCCACTTTGAATGTGAAAAAGAGTCACCACAGAGCTTAGCATTTACCAGAGGGGAGATCTTTAGAGTAGTCGATACACTGTATGACGGCAAACTGGGAAACTGGCTGGCAGTGAGAATTGGAAATGAACTGGAGAAGGGCCTCATTCCAAATAAGAGCAGGTAAGGTGGCATCCTGTCTTCCTAGCCATTGTTAGAAGTAAGATTTTTTTCCAAATTATTTTGGCTTCCTGTGTCATACCTTTCTTCTTTTTCTTTTCTTTTTTTCCCATACAAGAGTGAGTAAAGTATTTTTTCTTTACTTTGACGACAATTATGCATGTAAAAAAACCTCCTCCTCCTCCTTTACTCTGCCCTGGTGAGGCCACATCTGAAATATTGTGTTCAGTTCCGGGCCCCTCAGCTCAAGAGAGTCAGGGAACTGCTTGAGAGAGTCCAGCGCAGAGTCACAAAGATGATGAAGGGAGTGGAACATCTCCTTTTTGAGGAAAGGCTGAAGGAGCTGGGTATCTTTAGCTTGGAGAAGAAGAGGCTGAAGGGTGACCTCATTAATGTTTATAAATATGTCAAAGGGGAGTGTCAGGAGGATGGAGCCAGGCTCTTCTCAGCGATGTCCAATGACAGGACAAGGGGCAGTGGATACAAGCTGGAACACAGGAGGTTCCACAAAAATATTAGAAAAAACTTTTTCCCTATGAGGGCGACAGAGCACTGGCACAGGCTGCCCAGGAAGGTTGTGGAGTCTCCTTCTCTGGAGACATTCAAAACCCGCCTGGACGTGTTCCTGTGTGACCTACTGTAGGTGATCCTGCTCTGGCAGGGAGGCCGGACTAGATGATCTTTTGAGGTCCCTTCCAACCCCTGACATTCTGTGATTCTGTGTGATTCTGTGATAAAATTACGCATGTAGATTTTAGAACCATTATGTGAGGAGAGGATGGTGTTACTTAGGCACTGGATCATGTAATTGCAACACAGACCTAGAGCTCCTGTCTCAGCAGTCAAACAAGTTTTGACCACTATCACTTTCCATTTATTTTCCAGAAAATGGATGGATAATAGTATTTTTGCGCTTTTTTGCCTTTTTTACCCTGTTCTTCTCTGCACTCATACTGTCCTAAATCAAATCAAAACAAACTAACCAACCCAAAACACCCCAGACCAAAACCTCCAAAGAAAACGGACAAAAACAACTCCTACACCTTAGCAAAATCATGGCTATGTGTGCAATAATACTCCGATGATTAATCTTTTTTGAAAGAACTGGACTGTTTGAATTTATTCTCTATATCCTTATGGAAAGTGTTTAAAGAATTTTTTCCAAGACTGATAGCTCTTGGTAGTTGTAGTCCTTATTTTTGTGTGAAATACTGAGTAAACCACAGCAATGGTTTTTTGCTTACATACATCTCCATAGTTGAAGTTCATGTGTGGTAATGTTCAAATATACACAATGAGTAAAAATATTGGAATTCCTCAGAAAAAAGAATAGGATGTTTTTAGACTGCAGCTTTTAAATTCTTGGGCATGATTGTGATGTTATGGTGCAGTAAAAAAAGCTCACAATTGCATTGTACAAAAGTTTCTGGAATACACTTCTTATGTGACTCCCTTACCACTTTCCTGCTTAGTACATCCTTTCTTCCCTATTAATGGACCTGTCCAAACCAGCCTTTGTCTCTGTGCTGTAGTGACTTATGAGGTCTAATGGAGAATAATGGCAGTAATTTCTTATGCCTTCAGTTCCCTGTTGCACTATTTCACCACCTCTTTACATTTGCATTGTTTTATTTATGCTTGTGTGAGTTACCAGTTAAGACTTGAAGACTCGTTACTGCCCAGCAATCTTGTAGCTGTGGTGAGTTGCAGTGTTTGCTCAAAGGCAAAAGAACCTGCAGTCATCTGTTCTTTCCTCCACTCATGCCTCTCTGTGTGGCAAGTTACCTGTTACCAATTCACAATCAATTGTTCTTCAGTGAAGGTGCCTTTACCCTCTTTGACTAGTTCTGCTCAAATAAATTCTGTGTTTTCTTTGTCAGAGCTGAGCAGATGGCCAGTGTTCAGAATGCCCAAAAAGATGGCTCAAGCGACAGGGCAGACTTCTGGAGAACACGTGGCCAGCGATCCGGAGTGAAGAAGAATCTGAGGAAGAGTCGTGAAGATCTGACAGCTATTGTATCTGTGAGCACAAAATTCCCAGCTTATGAGCGAGTTCAGTTGCGTGAGGGTAAGTGAGACTGCTGCAAGCTGGCTGGATGGTTTAGCATCCAAGTGTTTGGTCAGCTAAGTAAATGATTTCAAACAACCTGGATTCAATGCTAAATTTGAGCAAGAGGAAGGGATGACAGTTTTCTCAGAGTGCAAATTTCTGAATGCTATCAACTAAGAAAAAAAGCTTTCCGTGTTTTTAAACTGTGCTATACTCCTTTGCCTCCAAGTTACACATGACATTTTCAAGGTTTAAAATAAAAAAAGAAGAAACAAGTGGGGTTTTCTTGTTTCCTCAGCTTCCCCTTTTCTAGCTCTGAATATACAATCCATATGCCTGAGATCAATCATAATCTTTAGCTTGCTTATAAATACCAATTTAGCATTGCCGTGAGAGCAGATAAAACCCAATTATTTTCAATAGAGCATCCAAAACTAATCAAGGTTGATGGGGTCCATGTCTGTGAATTTGAACTAGATAAATTACTAGTGATGTTGAGCAAGTCAGTGTAACTTTCTGCATATTCACACGTGATAGTACTGTGGAGCAAAACAAATAGTAAAAGAAGTATTTTAAAGGAGCTCCCAGATGTCAATGGCATTCCTCCATTAATTTATGAGGACTGTATCTGTGCTCGTTTTGACGAAAGCATATCAGAATTGTGCATTTCTTTGCTTCTTCAAGCTGTCCTGCAGCTGGTTTAACACTGATATTCACACAAAACCCACTGGGTCAAGGGTCATGCTATTTCGCTGGATGGAAAGATTACTGAAGATCTGTGGCAGGTTTTTGGGATGTAGAATCCTCTCACTGCATCTTGATTAGAAGGAATAAGGAAGCTGTTTAAACAATATCTTGCTTCCTCAGCTGATAAGAATAGCTTTCTGTATGAGTTCTGCTGTTTTACAAACTCATTTATATATAAACCCAGTCGTATCAGACATTTTTTTCTCTAAATATTTTTCTTTTCAGCTGGTTTTAAGAGACCTGTGGTGATATTTGGGCCGATTGCAGATGTTGCTATGGAGAAGTTGTCAAATGATTTGCCTCACCTGTACCAGACAGCAAGTAAGTTGTCTTCCTAGCTTCCTTATCATCCTTAGTTTAGAGAATGGATAATTTATTAATCGCAGCCACCAAGCCACTGTAGATAAACTCAAGTGTTGTCTTTGCAGAGACAGAACCCAGAGACGCAGGTTCAGAGAAGTCAACTGGGGTAGTGCGCTTGAACACTGTGAGGCAAATCATTGAGCAGGTACAGTGTATTTCGGTGAAAATTGCTTACACTCAAAAGCATGTTGTTTGATTTGTTTCCTCCTAAAACTTGCACATTCCTCAAATCTCCATTGCATTTATTTCTTTAGTAAGCAGACTTGGCTTAATGGTAGGGCTATTTAGAAATTGTGCAGCAACTATTTTTATAATTTTGATAGCTGTCCTCCAAGTAGGAGGGTTAGCCTTGTGTTAGAAATAAAATTCTCCTTCCTTAGTCCATTCTAAATTTGGTGAGGGATGTCTGTGTTTTACCATATACTTTCTGAATTTGCCATGGATGTTTTACTGTTTTACAGTGCTCTACTTCCTCTTACTGTCATCAGAGTTACTCCTATTGAACTGAACAGAAAGTGATTATGATAGTTAAGTAGAATCTACTGAGATTACATTAGCTCTTAAAATACTGTTTAGAGATCAAATAAATAGGTCATAATCAAGAAGCCTAGAAATTCAGGCAAAAATAATGTACTCTGCAGCTTTTTGTCCTAAGCCAAATAGAATTGATGCTGGCAGGGTTAAAATGTCACACGGAAGTCAAAGCTCAGGCTGCACTGAAGCACAGATCTGAAAATTACAGAATCACATAATGTTAGGGGTTGGAAGGGACCTCTGAAGATAATCTAGTCCAACCTTGCATCCCAGCATGCCTAACCACTACACCATAGCCTCAAGTGCTAGATCTACTTTTTCTTTTAAACACCTCCAGGGTTGGTGACTCCACCACCTCCCTGGGCAGCCTGTTCCAGTGCCTCACTACTTGTTCAGTAAAGAACTTCCTCCGAATATCCAATCTAAACTTTCCCTGACGCAACTTGAGGCCATTTCCCCTTGTCCTGTCATTAGTAATTAGAGAGAAGAGACCAGCACCAGCGTCACTACAGCCTCCTTTTAGGTAGTTGTAGAGGGCAATAAGGTCTCCTCTCAGCCTCCTCTTCTCCAGACTAAACAAGCCCAGTTCCCTCAGCCACTCTTCATAGGTCATGTTTTCCAGACCTCTCACAAGCCTTGTTGCCCTTCTCTGCACCCGCTCCAGCACCTAGATGTCCTTCTTATTAATTCCATTAATCTTTGCACTAGAAGTAGCTAAAAAGGAACATATTAAGTGGAAAAAGTGAGATTTGTCTCAACTAGTAAGTGTAGATAAAGATAACACCCAAATAGTGTGGTAGTGGAAGCTATAGTAGGGGCAGGTAGACATAAATGCTGGTTAACTTTCACCACCTATTTGATTGAAAGAAAAAAAAATAAAAGTGGAGTGAAAGGATTTTGCTTAACATGAGAGTTAGTTAGCGTAAGAATATGGACATTCAGGCAAAAGCTGTTCAGAAAAATGGAGCTGAAAGAAAAAGGCTGTCTGCTGTGGCTTCCAAATGTGATATAACTAGAGGAAAAATTCAACAAGTTGTGGTTTTATTTGGACAAAATTGTCTTGGTTTTCTTAGCGTACCATGTTCCAACCACCTCCTCTTGTTCCCCACAAGCAGCACACTGACCAGGCTTTCTTGTTAACAGGATAAACATGCTCTGCTGGATGTTACTCCTAAAGCAGTGGACCTGCTAAATTATACCCAATGGTTTCCTATTGTGGTCTTCTTTAACCCAGACAGTAAGCAAGGTGTGAAAACCATGAGACAAAGGCTGTGTTCCACATCTAACAAGAGCTCGAGAAAACTTTATGAGCAAGCCAACAAACTGAAGAAAACTTGTTCCCACCTCTTTACAGGTAATGTATGTGTAATCTGCTTACCAAGAGAGTATTGGATAAGACTGTGTGAGTCTTGAGGCATCTGCTTACTACTCTGCGTATTAATGCATGCAGACTGGAACCAAAAGGGTGTTATGAGATACAGTCACGAGCAATCTCTTCCTTTTATCAAAGTTCCTTGTTCTGCCAAATTCATATCTAAATGAAATTGTGAACTGGCATGCTGTCATTAAAAGATAAGTGATTTAGTAAGCTTGAGGAATGGACAAACAATAATATAAAAGTACCGTGCTTCTGACAGTGTTTTAAACATTCTGTTCAACATTCTTCCATAAATAAACTGCTAAACAGCCGAGACTGTCTAAAGGATCACATTGCATATGGTTGTATACATACTTTTTCCTTCAATTTTTACAGCCACCATCAATTTGAATTCAGCCAACGATAGCTGGTATGGGAGTCTGAAAGATACAATTCAGCAACAGCAAGGAGAAGCAGTATGGGTATCAGAAGGAAAGGTAAGCCATCAGTCCATACTGTACTAAGCTATATAGATGTCTCAAGATATATCTTGCTAGTAAAAATTGTTCAAAATTTTGTTTCCCAGTGCTGAGTGAGTTAGACAAGTAGTAGTTGATCTCTTTCTTGGTAACAAAAAAGTACATGTTACACTTTCTTTTACATTTTGGGCCTGACATCACTAGTGCTGTGGTTAGGCTTTATGATTCTGCATTGGAGTTTCTTTCAGTTTTGCAAAATCATTCTTAAGAAGTTATTTAGCATGATGTTGAAACCTAACTAGACACTAATTCTTCTATATTTAATCTTTGTTCCTTTATTCTTACTGTCTTTTCTCTAGATGGATGGTATGGAAGATGATGCAGATGACCGTATGTCTTACCTTACTGCAATGGGTGCTGACTATTTGAGTTGTGACAGTCGGCTGATCAGTGACCTAGAAGATACTGATGGAGAAGGAGGTGCATACACCGACAATGAACTTGATGAGCCCTTGGACGAACCAAGGATTTCATCTGTTAGCCGGTCCTCTGAACCTGTGCATCATGAAGAGGTGAGATGATTGGATTTTCAACAGGGCTGTACTTTGGACTTCCTGGCTTAAAAATAAGAGGTTTTTTAAACTGAAGCTTTCCTGCCCCTGATAGTGTTTTAGAGCTGCGCTGTGCAGAGCAAAGACAATAACAGCTCTGCTTTTCTTCCTGACTCTATGTTTCCTGATGGTGTCTCATCATGGAGCTTTGCAGTGAAATCTGCAATGACTGTGGTCATATTGCTGACAGTCAATTGCCACCTGCTTACTGTTACCCAAATAGTAATCTTGAGAGAGAGAAAAAATGATTGAATTACTGGATACTGCAGTGATTTTTATCTCTTATTTTCTTTCACAGAGTTTAAAAAAATTTAGTCCAGAACCAAAGGCTCAGTTGAGAAAAGCTGGTAGCAGGGAGATCCTTAGAGAACCAAGTCCACCTCCAGCATTCAAGCCTGAACCACCTAAGGTAAAATTGTAGAAGCAGTTCTGAATACGAAGTTGTTCTTTCTGGAGAACTCCCCAGGGTGGCACCTTGGGAAGAGCGATAGGAATCATCAGAGAGTAGAAAACATTTTAAGAGTGGAGAGAAGGAATGACTGAAGGTGTTGTAGGATCAAGCAGAAGGAAAACTTAAAGGATAACAGTTTTCTTCAAGTATGCTTGACCTCTATATGGCATAAGAAAGCAGACTTCTCTTTGTGTCTACTAACAGAGTGAAAGGCACTTTTTTAGCTCAGCAAGAACAAATGTAGGCTAATCATTAGACAAAGCTTATCTCTTGGCTATTATTGTGAAGCACAAAGCTGGAACAAACCTTCAATGTCCATAAATAGAAATCAATATTAATTGTTTGTTCAAACCTTGCTCAGGAATGATGCAGGGAGAAAAAATTATGATGTTTGGACACTCAGGTCTATTTAGCAACTACTGATTTCCCCTGACCCCAAAGTCTTTTCTTTATAAGGATGGGTGCCCTCACATACTTCATGTATTCAAAATATATTCAAGTATGTCTTAATAATGGAGACTGAGCAGAGCAGGACATGCATAAGGAAAATAAAGACGGAATAGAAACTTCTAAATACCTGGTAGTGATACTCAACATTAGGTAGTACTCATGAATTATTTGGGAGGTTATTTTTCTCTGTGCTATCCCCTAACGCATAATGTAGTTCTAGTAATCCTTATCAAACAGGACAAATCAGTCTAAATGTGCTATTCTTCTCTAGATTAGTGTGTAGTGTATGAGCTTATGGCCAAAACTGCGCTGCAGGTGAACTACCTATCAAGTGTTACTTTGGGTGAAGATTGGCACTGTTACATGCTTAGTCAAAATTATTAATTTCACATTAAAACCTACATCAGCCACTTCATTATTTTAATTTCAAATGAAACCTTTGTGTGTTTTATACTTGCAGGGAAAGTTACAAAACAAAGAGGATCTATACGACTTCCCTAAGAGCTACGACTCCATATCAAGTAACGTTGCTGTCAGCAGTGAGACTTCAACTGTATCGGCTAAGGCAGCACCACCACCTGTTTCTGTGAAACCTGTCTTTGGGCGTCCCATCCTGAGAAACTCTCAGCCAGCAGTCCCACCTCCAGAGGAGGACGAGGAGGCAAAGTTGGAAGAGGAAGAAAATGAACAAGAAAATACTCCAAAATCTGTTTTGAGGAAGGTGAAAATATTTGAAGAGATGGATCATAAGGCAAGGATGCAAAGAATGCAAGAGCTACAAGAAGCGCAGAATGCCAGGGTATGAAGAGATGCTTTCGCCCTCTGCTGTAATTTCCAGCATATAGAATAGCCTGCATCCTGAAAATGGAAACATGTCTTTGCATTGTGTTGCTTCCAGAGGGAGAAGTTTGTGAGGATTTGGGTGTAAAAAAAGGACGTGTTTCAAGGCTTCCTGCTGTAACTATAGAAAGCTGGCTTCTAATAATCCTGTTGCTTTTGGCAATCCATTCGTTGATGTACGCTTTGAATTATTACTCTAGCAAAAGATGACGAAGTTGCAGGAATAGGAATAAGATCAGTTATCAATTTGTACTTTAATTGTTACAGATATAGCTGTGACCTGCTAGATCTATAGTCTAATGTATAGACTTAAAAGTTATTTTCTTCTAATTTCTTTTAAAGCTTGAAATAGCCCAGAAGCACCCAGATATTTATGCTGTCCCTGTCAAAACACAGAAGTCAGAACAGAACTGGCCGCAGCCTGTGAGGTAAGGTGCATCCCGTTTAAAGCTTTCTGTCTTGATCATTCACCAGTAGGAGGAAAACTGATTGTGCCGGTTTTGATTCATGCAAGTAATCCTGCCTTGGTATATCACTTTGTTCTTGTGCCTCAAAGATTAGTGTAAAGGTGGAGCAAAATTTCAGTGAATTCTTCTTGAGTTTCAGGATTTTTTTTTTTCTCTTAGTTCATTCATAGTATTTGAGTTACCTCAGAAGAAACACTATATTCTTTTGCTGAAATATTTGCAGAGCCAGGTTTTTTTTGCTTCACTGAGGATTCCTCAGAAGCTTTTCTGCATTCATAGAATCATAATCATTCATGTCCTCTGATGTCCTGTGCTAGATACATGGCGACTATTAGTCTATCCTAACAAATAATTGCTGGTTTAATTACTTAATAACAATTACTTAAATGCTTACGGAGCAACAGATGTATTGTGGGGGTGGGGAAACTGAGAATGAAACTGTTCTGAGGTCACCCATCCAGTCTTACAAAAACAGTAGTCTCATTAAAATTCAGTGATTTCTATGACTTGTGTAGTCACCTAGGCAAGAGCTAACACACTATCTGACGGATTTTTTTTTCTGCTCTGCAGGACTTTTTTCTTGCCTCTTAGTAATAGCCAGTAGAAATGGGATTTTCTCCCCCCACCCCCGGTGAATCAAATCCTTTTATGTCATAGTATATAATGTAATGCAAAAATGTAAAACATTAAGTGATTATTTTCAGGTTTTCTTGCTGGGGTCAGAAAAAAAAAAATTTATAGCCTTGGCAGCTTTTTAGAAGCAGTGAAAAGTAGTCTTTAACTAAAGATGCAGAGTGTTTGCTCACATACAGAAATCAGTGTTGTTGCCTTTTTACAGGAATATTAATGATTGGCCTAGAGGAAGTGTTTAAATACTGAGGCAATATAGAAGGAAAATAATATCTTGGTTTTGTACAGTGGGGCTTGCAAAAATCATGGCTTTTGAAACTGAGAAAAATGCTCTTCCTTGGCAGATTTTATTTCTAGCTCTCTGCTTAGTGTCACATTAAATGGATAGCACCACAGTGTATAAAAAGCTAATGTTATTTCTTCCGACTTTGAGGGATGAGAGCCCTAGTGAGAGCCTCGAATGAGGAGAGAATGCTGTCAGTTTAAAAAATGTCATGTAAGAAGTCTTCAGGCTTTGAGACAGAAAGTGGTGGGTACAAAGGAAGAGGCAAGTATCAAATGAATCTGGTGCAAAAGTAATGAGGAGAATGTCAGTTGTGGTAGCAGCAATGTCTGAAAACCTCTCTGCTCAGAAGATAAAAGTGCTGTAAAGCTCTTGATTTGTATGTGTGCAATGGTGTTTAGTAATTTTAAATTTGGCATTCTTCCACATAGATTGAGTCAATCAAATCTGAACATCAGGCTCCAGCTTGATGAAAGTATGCTGCCTCTCCAGATAGGCTTACCATGGCCATGCAATTGGAATTTGTTCCATGTGCCTTTCTAGGTTGTTCATAGCCATAAAGCTAATACTAAGGATAATTAATTCTCAGCTTTTCAGAATGGAAATAAACATGTCTCTCCCTTCCCCTGTCTTGTATTAGCTCTAGACCTCCAGAACCCCAGAAACCTCCTATCAGACCTTATCTAGAGAATCGTGGCAGTTACGGCAGTGATGCAGAGGAGGAGGAGGAGTACCGTCGGCAGCTATCAGACCACTCTAAGAAGGGGTATTATGGACAGCCATCCAGATATAGAGACACGGAGTTGTAGGCTTGCTTGTATGTGCATGTAAAATGCTCTTCTGAGGTTTCTTCCTTCACAGCCAAATTGGAGCAGTAGTTATTCTTGAAAAGCTATATTTTTATTGGGGGTAGTGTTAGAGGGTACTCTACTCAACTTAGACATATCTATACACTGGAACTGGAAAAGTTCATTTTTGGGGATATTGTTTTTGTTAGAATCTAAGAAATCACTATTGCCTGAATGCTGTTGCCTGTTTTATAAGGACCAAATCCTGAATGTTTTTGTTAATTCTGGTATTTTAGTATTTTAACATAAAAGCCCTTTTTTCCCTTTTATTAATGCTGCCTTTTTTGGACTGTTCTGCTGTGTTATGAAAGTAAGAACCCAGAGATACACTTCTTAATGCAAAAGCACTAAATTTTAAAGTGTATTTTAAAAATAGTAAGTGCCTTTAAAAAGAAGCATCTTAAACTGTTTGTTTTGACATCTGATACTTGGTGCAAAGCTGTAACACACTAAATGGGGATTGACTGTTTTACTTTTTTTTATTATTTCATCAGTTTCATGGTAACAGTTTCCCTTGCGTGTTATTTTTCTAGGTTCATAGATACATATTGAATATTTCATAAGTACTGACTGTACATAATAAGCGTGCAATTCACTGGGTTGGAAAAGACCAGGATTTGCTTAAACAGAAATGATGTAGCAATTCAGTCATGTATTAAAATTTACACAGACTGCAAATAATAAAGGATATATTCTAGACAACCCTTGTGTATCTTATTTTTGTTTTCAACACCATTAGTCTCGTAGAGACTCTGGCTTTCATGAGTATACTTAGAGAAGTACACTGTTCAGTTCAGGGTCTCATCTTCTGCTGCTCAAGGAACTGGGAGACGTTACTACTGATGTTGCTTCCCAGTGTTCTGAAGATGGTTTTGAAATTTGTTGTGACTTAAAACTGATGCAGAAATCTGTACTTCCTGCAAGAGACTTCTTTTTCGAGTATTAACTTCTGCCTCCCTGTTCCTGCCCTTTATGCTTAATTCTGCTGTGAAGAATAAAAATTGTTGAAAGGGTCATAGAGAAATAAATTTTTGTTCATGCAGTAGAAAAAGTGGTTTTCTAGTGCTCTCTTGAAACAAAAAGGATAGAAGTATCTTTTGGAAGCAAAGGAGTAGATGCGTCTCACATGAGAAAACTTGCGTTGATCAGCATAGATTAGAAACATAGAACAGAATCATTTAGGTTGCAAAAAACCCCTAAGATCAAGTCCAACTGTAAACCTAACACATCAAGTCCTCCACTAAACCATGTCCCTAAGTGCCACATCTGCATATCTTTAAATTATCTCCAGGGACAGTGACTCCACCACTTCCCTGGGCAGCCTGTTCCAATGCTTGACACCACTTCAGGGAAAATTTTTTTCCTAATAACCAATCTAAACCTCCCCTGGGTCGAAGTGCAGCCCTTGCCTCTTATTTCAGAAGCCTGTGCCCAATGTATATCAGCCTTGGACACAAGAAACAGAGTTTTTTTCAAGTTTTTGGGGTCCAAAAAAATAACAATGCGCCACAGGCAGATGCAGTTCTAGGGTGCTTTGATGCAGATAGGCTTGTGAAAGAAGCTGAAGTGAATTGAAAACACAGCAGGAAGGAAAACAAGCCTCTGTCTTGAACCATTTTACCCTGATAGGGGTTAGGGTCAAGGTG